AACAGGTTGATTAAACCAGAGGTAATTCAGTGGCCATGGTCACTTGTATTTCAAGACTATGTTTGTTACTGAGTCACTTTACTTTGCACTTTTCACTTCAAACAACTTGCTTTTAACATGACTTTAATTGCAGTAGGCTATTAGTTTCTTCACTGAAATGCTGACACTATTTCTGAATGTCAGTTGAATTATTTTAAAGGGAGTCACCCATCATCCATAAAATGTTAATTTTCCCTCAAGTAGCCTTGGCACTTTCCATTACCCTGGAGATTGCCCATAGCCACTCATCTAGCCTTGTGCTCTGTGCCAAGGTTACAGATGGTAAGAAACAATACTAGACAGCATTGTAGAGTAGTTCTGAACACAGGCTTTGGGATCAGACTGAACAACTGAGTTCAGATTCCAACTTTCCTACTAACAAGTAATATAATCCTAGATGTGTTATTTCATTTCTTCAAACATGACTTTATGATCCATGGAGATACTATTGCACTGTGTTAAATACGCGATAAACCCTGAATAACTATAGCTATTATTATCATCTTATTAATAAACCTTAGACATTGTTCTCAAGAAACTCATAAGCTATTAAAAGCTGACCAAAGGCTTAGAGTTCACTTAACACAACACCCTCCTTTTGCAGATCATGAGAACCAGGTGGGTGAAGTCACATAGCAGAGCTAAGACACAGTATTCTTTACCAGTCAGCCATGACACTCTCAGATCTCACAGGAGAGGACAAATAATACTTTGATCAATGGTGGAGAGAGTTGGCCAGTGACAACCCAGAGAATATTGGCTCTGTGTGAGCTGGAGCCCTGGGGAGCCCTGTGATGGTTCCCAAAGTAGGTATGTTTGGGAGAAAGAAGAAGAACAGGCAGGTAGTGCCAGTGGCCAGTGTCACTCAGTCTCATTAGGGAAAGTCATCAAGCAGATCACTGATAGGATTGGATTTCTCAGCAGCTCTAGCTTTCCCCACCACCTGTCATGTAAAATTCTTTCATCTGAAGGGTGCAAACTTAGTGTGGAGTGTGCTGATGTTACCTTGGTTGCAGTTCCCCACCCATCAATAGTGGTGTATAATAAGCAGGCTAGAGAGCCTAGAACTGGGTTGGCAATCCAAGATCCACAGGCCAAATCCAGCCTTATATTTTGAAATAAAATTTCATTAGATCAGAGGCACATTTACTCATATATATAGGCCTATGGTTACCTTGTGGTATAATAACACAGCTAAATAGTTGGAATAGATCAAACATCCCCAAAGCCTATTTAACTCTCCAATCCTTTACATAAGAGGTTTGCCAACCTCAGTGATAGAAATTTATCAGTTGCTCAAGAGACAAAAGCTTTCTTCTAGCTCTGGAAGAATCAGCTGATTCCTTCAGGATGTTTTTGTGACATGGCTGATATTTAATTAATACAGTAAGAAAAAAAAAAGAGTAGGCTTTACATCCCCTTACAATTCAAAGGCCATCTCTTCTTCAAGATAGATAGATGCAAAAGACACCTCTTCTAAAGGTGTGTCTAGTTCTGGAATGCCTCATATTCTCTTACAGAGAGGAGTTAGAGCCACTTGAAGAGAAAGGGACATTCTATGCATTACTTAGACATCTAGAAGAGTCGCCTCTTAAGGAATGTGTATACTATAAAACAGGCTCTCACCATACATTATTTTGTGTACTCATTATAACAATCCTCTTAAGTAATATACTGTCCCCATTGTACAGAAAGGTAAACTAAGGGCAAACTAAAGTCACAAGATTTGACACCATGTTTTCTAATATACAAAGGTGCAGTAACTCAAGTCTTAAATTGCCTGCCTGTAGAAAGTATGGTTGAAAGTAGCTTAAGTACAACCAAGTCAGACAAAAATAAGAGTTCTAAGTCATTGCTTCTAGAATTTTGCATTGCAAAATACTACCTGCAAGATATTCATTGTTTAGAAAATATTGTATATATTGCTACCTGTGTAAAAATAACGTAATTCCATTAGCAATTATGGACGCTGAGAAAATTTCCCAAATACTAACAGAAACCTTTAATCTAATTAACAACATTCCATAAAACTGGTATTCCAAGGTACACATTTTGAGAACTGTTGATGATGGTGGTGGTTATGATGCTGATAACAACTAGTTATTAAAAAATTACCATGATCCACACATTTGCCTAAGCATTTACATGTATTAAATTCATTTTACCCTCACAGAAATAAGGTATTCTTATTAATTCCCTTCTTGACAGATGAGAAGACTGAGGCACAAAGAGAACAAATAACTTGCCCAAAGTCAGGTAGCTAGTACATTCTGGGGACTATGAGCTTCTGAAATACAGGACTCCAGTTTCAACTCATCTTTGTGTACCCTACATACTTAGTACAGTGCCTGGCACATAGTCTTCACCTGGGAAATGTAGTTGAACTGAATTAAAGATAAGGTTCCAATAAAATGAAGTGACTAGAGGGTTTTGAAGAAACCACTTAAGAACTTTAAATGATATTTACACAATTATGTACTCCCTCATAAATCTGGATTTTCTATTTGTTTCAGAGAGGACCATTATCTCCTCCTATAAACTATTGTGTGTAGTGTAAACATTTTCATATTTTATCTAATGTACCCTACTTAAAGTTAATGCAAAGATGATAGGAAAATATCAGATAGTGCTTATCCTATTTAACCACAAGAATAATATTTCACTTGAAGGTGCATTAAATTGGGCTTTTTGTGTGGCATAAAATAGAGTGGAAGAGGCAAGACCACATCCGTAAGGAATCACTGTATCACCCTTGTTAGGAAAGTGGATGGATATTTTTACAATGCAGCATAACAGCTACTGAGAATAATCAATAGCAGCTTTTTAAATATTAGAGATGTAAAAATATATCAAGGTCAAATTGAGTAAATAAAATGCTGTTGAATTTTCAGTGTAGATTTGAGTGAGGCCAGAGTGCCTGAAGGAAGACAAATCAACATGCTTTCAGTTTTAAAAGGAAAAGAAGCAAAAAAGGCCATGTTTGGGGGTACTGCAAAATGGAAAAGGAAGTTTAATGTTTATCACTTCAGGAGATTTAAGTGTAATGATAAAATGGTAGTATTTCTCATAACTCTGACCTAATCATTCCTGAATGATCCTAACTAATAATTGTTGATCTCCAATGAGTGCTTACTTACTACGCTACTTTCAGCATCTTATAGACGAAGCCCTTGATGAGTACTACTATGATCACCATTTTACATATTCAGAAATGGAAGCATAGAAAGGAAAGTAATTTTCCCATGATCCTCACTGACACAAGATGGTGATCTGATTCCAGAATCCACGCTGCTGTTTATACATGGGTAAAAGAGAAGATTCAAAGGCTCAACCATGTTCACAGGTCTGGGAGACAAAATAATTACCACTGTCACTGTCAGGATATGTCAGAGACCCATGAGGTAGGCACCAGAGAGCTAATTGTCACAATGTGGAATGGAATCCTTGCCAAATGCATAGGCTTCTCCTTGGTGGCTTGTTTAGTGACAGGTTTCCAGAGGTTGTTATGCATCCTGCCACTTTAGAACCTCATCAATTTCAGGATATGCATAAGTCACAAGGGGTAAAAGTCTGTCCCTCTCCCCCACCTCCCCCACAAATGTGCGCTACATTTCTAAAACCCTCAATAATGTGTTCACAATCCAGCCACATGCACCTTCCCTCCAAAACTTGGCCAACCATTTGTGGTTGAGTTTATGCTTTGATAGATGGTGCATCAGATTTGAAAAATTCAGGAACTGTTTCTTGTCCTAAAGTATTCAGATAAGGTTCAGGAAAGAAAAAAAATTCCTTTGGAGAAAACACAAACGGGCACCATATTGATGGAAAGGAAAGATGAAATTTTACAATAAAGCATTGTGCTAGAGTCTCACGGTAGGAGTCATTTGAGTCAAACACAGAGACCTTAAGAAAAATATCAAATTAGGTATTGAGTAAAAACAAATACTGAAAGTTATTTTCACAATTGTATTTTTGTTTCAAAATGCCTATTTTCCTCTCCCCTTTTTGTAGGTGACACTTAAGTCAATATAAACAACCAAAGAATTTGTTTGCTTGGATGGCATTAGAAGAATTGATAACATACAGACTTAAAAAATAAATACTCAAGACTAAGGAAAAACACTTGACTACAAAAGGATATTATTTAAAGAAAGATATATTTTATTTGATTTTTGGTGCTTAGGATTGAATCCAGGGCCTGATGCATACTAACAAGTACTCTACCATGAGGCTACACCCCCAGTCCCAAAGAGATATTTCAAACAAATGAAATAACAAATTGGGACCTATTCGTATATCCTTATATAAATTGAGTATAAAATGTAATTTGATGGGGTCAGGGATTTAGCTCAGTGGTGCTACCGCCTGCCTCTCAAGTGCAAAGTCCCAAGTTCAATCAACAGTACCATAAATAAATAAATAAATAAAATGGAATTCAAATATTTTTCTTCCATCAATGAGTATACAAAAACATACATATCAAATAGCATGTTACATTTTTAAATTAAGGTGAAATAAACTGCAAATATTTATGGTGCATATTTTAATAGTATGATATTTTAATATAAGTGTACAATATGGACTGATGAAAAGTAATTAGCATTCTCCTTATCATTGCTTTATGTTTGGAGTCTTTGAGCTCCTCCCTTCTAGGTCTTCATAAAGCACATAATAGGTTACTGTGAACACACTACATTTTTCTAGAAGACAATTCTCATTCATATATGTTGATTGTTTTATAATTCAGAACTTTTATGAAAAAATAGCTTCTTTTTTCTCCATTGTACCTAATTAGTCTTATATCCTTTCTCAATCTTACCTCACAAGTCTTATGAAGAGAAACTTTCTTTTCTTTGTGAAGTTAATCATCAGTTGGAGGTGAGCAACCACAATAAGTATGATTTAAGCAATCAGGCTAGAAGTCAGAGAGCTGACATTAAAACACAAACATGTTTACTTACCTGGATGGCTCTGACATTGGAAACTGGCTGTTTTGACATATTCAAGCAGTCTTATCCCTAAAAAAACAAGTAAGAAACTATCAGAGGTGGCAGCATTCAGATTCTCAGTCTTGATAAATTAGAATTTAACTCATTATTCAACTGGGCAGTCACCCCTTTCACTGGCCATATATTCTTTCGGTCTCAGTTTCCAAGGTTACTTAGAGACTCTCCTTCCAAATGCCTTGGGGATAGGGAACACTAGAGCACCCTGATAAATCATTCAGGAGGAGAAATGCTGAGATGCCTCACCCCTGATGCTAATGATAGGCGATCAGAAACTTGAAAGGCCCTATCATCTCCTTCCCTGCCCTCCTAACCCTTTGCCAAGAGCAGCAAAACAAAGAGTTGGTGGGAATAAAACACCTTTGTTCAGGCCTCAGTGCCTCTTCACTTGAAACTGAACTTTTGATCTGAAATCATTGCTGTCGGGTGGTTAGTTAGTCCATTGAAAGTGCCTGCTCTTTGTTGAACACCCAAAGAGACGTAGCCTGTATTATTTCACTACTACTGCAATGCTCTCCACTCCAGTCTCTTCTCCCAGTTCTGTGTGCTCTGTCCAGACCCACTGCAGGGTGCCTTGTACAGAGTCCAAGCTACAAAACACAGACAGCAGACCATGGCTTGCCTGTCTTTCTTTCTTTCAAAAGAACAGTGTCAGAAGGCAAGTAGGAATTCTGTGAGCATGCAGATCCCCAACATGTAGAGGTGTGTTCTTCTCAAAAGACTTTTGCTTTCTTGCAACACATGAGACCTGATTAAGATACTGCGACTGAGGACATCTGGAGACATAGGCTACGGTTTACCAGAGCTAAAAGAACAGGGAATAATAGCCAGCTCTGGCTTGTTTTTATAGCTTTGTTTATTAACCATTGACAGGACCAAATGAAAAGTTAAATATTCACTGAATTAAAAAACATGCTGTGTTCTAAACCCAAACTATAAAATAGGTTGACTGAGTTCTCTTTCATGACTGGTAAGTATATGTACTAACACATGAGTAAATGGACACAGAGAGTGGTGTTGGCACTTATCACAAGCCCTATGTTACCTGGGCAATGTTACTCAATATTTCTAGCCCCATTTCTTCTTCCTTTGATTCTTTTAACCTGTTTCACAGGTTGCAATCATATTTAAAATGACACAGTGTTGCTGGAAAGGCCTTGTGAACTATAAAGCATGATGCAGATATTTATTGTTTTATTGCCGTTGCCCACAGCTAATAACTTCTGAGTCCTATACTGATCTGCAGCCTTAAGTACAGAGAAGAATTGATGTAGCAACCATTAATACCTGTAGAAACAAAAGATCTAAGAACTCTATGAAACACTTAGTATTTTTTTCTTTTTAAATCTTTAAAGTCTTAGGCTCTATTATATGAATTCAAACAATTCATGTTTTTCAAAACCTCTAAGTCTTGGGATGGACCCCAGCAACAGAGAACTTAGCTACCATGCATGAGATGCTAGGCTCAATCCCCAGCACCAAAATAAAACAAAACAAAAAGTACCTCTGTACATAGTGCATACAAGTATGCAGTTTGGGCAGCTATATACAGGAAAAAAATGGCTTTTTTAAAAAAAAGTTTCACCTTAATGTTTTGGTAATACAAAGGTATGGCTTCCACTTATAAGGATCTAGGTAGAATTATATTAATATAGTTAAAATTAAATAGCAACTATAATAGTATATAAGATCCTAATGAGATAACTGACATTGTGAAATGGGAAGAAAAGGGCTAAAGGTGTAGGGAAAGTGGGAACGGTAGGGGAAAGATAGTAAGGGAAAGAAAAAAGTAGGAGAAAATGAAAAAATGGCAATAAAGTGTTTGTAAATGGGGAGGGGAGGAGGGGGTGAAGGGAGGGCAGGGACAAGGGGAAAAAATGAGAACCAAGACCTGTCATGTAAAGGTACAAGATCCCAATAATGAATGTAACTGTACTGTATACCTAAAATGTACCAATAAACTCAATGAAGAAAAAAATTAAATAGGGCCAGGGATTTAGCTCAGCAGTTCGGTGGCCTGCCTCTCAAGCGCAAGGACCCGAGTTCGATTTCCGGCACAAAAAAAAAATTAAATAGCAACAACAATTGACCAAAGATATATTTTGCTCTATGAAATGTATCAGATAGATTGTTGTCTTCCCTGCAGTATTAAAGGGAAATGAAGGATTTTTAATTTTTGGATCTAGGACACATGGCTCAATTCCAAAATGAATATCTTAGTGTCATAATTTGTAATGTTTCCATTCCTCAAAAGCTAATAGAAGTCACATAAAGTAAAAATTCTCACAGGACTTTAAATATCTCAGTATAAAGTGTTCTCTGTGTATGGACAATTAAGGTTTAATTAGTATTATTTGGGAACTTAAAAAAAGTTACTGAAAGTCAAGTAAAAGCATGGGAATCACAAAATTTCTCTATGTTCTTGCAATAAATGATTGAATGGTTTAAAAAGTAAACAATAAGTGATTGTGTTATATTGCATTGATTTAAAAAAATAAACTGATTTTGTTTTTTCATTGATGAACTAACTTTCGGGTTGCTGTTTGTTATTTTTTTTAAACTCTCAACCTAACTGATGAAAGGGGCTTGTCTCCTGTGTAGTTTTAGAATATTCTTGTTTGCATATGAATCTCTTAATACTCTTAACATCCATATCAATCTTTAATAGAGACATCTATAGAAAGGTTGTTAGCTCCCAGCTCTCATTCCTCACAAACAGGCTAGAGAATATTTGTGTAAATCAGTCCAGCAGTCATTCCTGCTGTCCCCATTATTTGCAGAGAAATCAGGGCAAAGCACACTGATGAGTAAAAATAGACCATGTTCCCTGGCTGTTTCCCTAGCCCTGCATTCACCCCCATCGGGGATGTAGAGTGTAGGATGCACCTTACCTCTTTATCTGCATGCTTCTTCCAGGGAACAAAAAAAGAAAGTTATGCCTTACATACACAATCCTCTCCCCCTGGGAGACCACTGTGTTTCATCCAAAGAAGTACTCTTTACAACACTTGATTACTCTGTCTCCTGGCTCTGGCTAAAATTTGAAAACATCGAAAGTTTGACAAGGCATATATTGACATTTACAAAACCTATAGTATAATGGAAATGCCCCAGCTGGTTACCCTTGAGTTTTCCTGGCAGTTCTGCAAGTCCATGGGGACTTTTAATGGTCTGTCTGCTGAGTCATTTACAATATACCCCCATTTCGTTTTGATTGGACAGCATCTAATATCTAACTTCTAAATAAAACTATCTGACTTACTAAAACTTTGTCAACATTAATGTCACTAATTTAATAAGAAGGGATTCAGAGGCAAATCAATCAATATTTGGAAATAAGATCTTTGTTCTTTTTAAAGGTCAAGTAAATGGGTAAAGCTCCATCTCAAAGGGAATTATCTTCTGTCCTGCAGCTAAAAATAATTTCTGAGAAGGGTGTAGAAAGATGGTCAGCTGTCTGAACTCCTTATTTATTCTTCCTTAAATATGCTGGGGCAGAAGACAATCTCTTTGTGATCCCATGCCTCACAATCTGCTGTCCCCATAGACAGAAACAAGAAGTGCTACCCTCTACCCAGCCAGGTATGGGAAAACTTGAGACCAATATGAAGCTTTCAAAAAGACAGTTCTACAAATGTACAAGGCACCGATAGAACTTCACATTGAAACCAAACCCGGAATTCAAGAAAAGGAGAAAAGCATCCTACACTTGTATTGTATAACAACTCTGGTAGTAATATGCATGTAGGTAAGCCAAAAGACTAGCATTGTATCATTCCTCTGCCCCCAATCTGATTACTTCTGAGCTTAGAGCCTGAATCAGTTTTAAGCTGACAAACTATAATGCTGGCCATCACAGCTTCAAGGTCACAGTTATCATATCTGGACCATGAACATTTTATTAACATCACCATCAATGAAAAGTACCGCTAGCTCAACATTCTTTCAGTAACTCTCTCAGACACACGATTTATAAGGCAGAAGTAGCAATATCACAGGTGGACAGGGAATTGACAATGAAGCTACGACCATTGGTCACAAGCCTACAAAGTTATAAGTACTCACTTCAAGTTAAATATCAAGGAAAATTCCTTTAGAAAGCCCAGTTGCCAGAGCTGGATCCTCTTGCTTACCTGCTTTCTGTATTTGTTTACTGCCTAAGGAAAGTCCCAGGCAGCCAGGTGCAAGAGTACAAAGCTCCTTGGAAGGTGGAAGGGACGCCGGGTGTCCTCTGAGCTGTGATCTCAATTCCGATGCTTTTCATGTGGCTGAAATAGCTCAAGTGCTCTGTGTCTCTCCCGGTACTGAGAACTGCTCCTGGCTCAGGGCTGGAGGGGAACTCAGTTTAAGGCTAAGTGTTAAAAAGAATTCCTATCATAGCTCACAGTTGTTCTTCCTAAATATAGAGTTTGATACAAGCCATATGCTGGCTGCCTCCGAAAGGCTTGACCGTGGGGAAAGCAGGGCTCAAATATCAGCCAGGAGGTGGCTACAGTATCCTACTGTCCTCCTAATCTTCCAGAAGAAGCTGGCTGCATTTCCTCACATATTCTGATGGGGTATAGTAAACTTCAGAAAGTAGGAAAAATCTATCTTTAGCTTCATTACCTGCAGGCCACAAGATGAGAAGCATTCAGTAAAAACTGGGTGAAGGCAGCCGGGATCCTGATGTCAGTGTTTGAATCCTAGCTTGGTCATTCGGGAACTGCTAAAGTTATTTCACTCTCAGCTCTCAATAAACAGTCACCAAATGATGATCATTATACTCCTACATTGCACTATACATCAATGTCTTTTTTTTGTAGGTCAAAAATGGTCGAAGATGGACCAGTTGGTGTGGTTGCCAAGCCAAGAGTCCTTGTTCACTCTGCTCTGCCGGCTCTACTGGCAGCATTGACTTTGACCCCAGAGAAAAGGAGAGGACAGGGGTACAGAACAGAACAAAGCAAAGAGGAAATATCTACTTTAAATATGACAAAAGAAAAGACCAGGTACCAGGCAAAACATTTTTGAAACAGAACACACCCTATCCTAAGGCACATATTACTAATTTTTAACTTTTTCAACTTCTCCCATCTCCCAAATTACCTTTACATAAAACTTCCCTTCTGTAGGAATATTCAACAAAGTGAGAAGATTTAAAATCCACCCACTGGATGAAAATGAGCCTTACGTCCAAATCCCTGAGAGAATGGGCCAGCCATTGAACTCTGAGCAGCAACCATTTCCCAGAAGTCTTCTTGTTATGTGAAGGAAAGACTCTTCATTTCTGTGCATCTCTAAAGCCAGGTTTGTGCTCCTTGCAGCTGAGTGCATTCCAAATGGAAGTAATTGGCTTGTTTTGACATCTGTCAAAAGAAAAACAACTTTTGGGGAGTTTATGCCATGTTGTAAGATCAAACAGCACTGAAGGTGAGTTATTTATACACTGGAGAAGAAAATATGAGACTATAGGATATTTGGCTACACATATGTTCAGTCAAAAAAGGCAGGGTCACTCCACAGACCAAAAGCAATGAGGCATTTTTGACCCCTTGCCCCATAATCAGTACACACATTTTGCCATAGTCCTTTTGCTCCAATGACACACTCAGGAGCCAGTGCTAGAGAATATATTAAGGAAATTGCTCCTGGCATCAATGCTTCGTGCACAAGACTGGCCCAATATGTGTATGGCTGCCTCTATTAGAAGAACTGAGGGAAGCTGTACAGGAAGGATGTCATTGTTCAAAAGTGACAGAAACCAGCCATGCACCATGGCACATACCTGAAATCCCAGCTATTTGGGAGGCCAAGGCAGCAAGAGGACCACAGGTTGAAGGCCAGTTGAAGGTAATTTAGCAAGATGTCTCAAAATTTAAAAGATTTGAAAAAGGGTTGGAGATGTAGCTCAGAAGAGTAGTGTAGATTGGTGCACTGTTGATGCTTTTCTTTTACCACTGCCCCTGAGTTCTTCTGTAGCTACAGACAGTCTCTAGAACACTGTGAGCATCTCACCTCAAAAGCCTGCCTCAAATCCATGCATACCAGTGCACACTTGTGATGCCAGTACTCTGGGAGGCTTAGGCAAGAAGATCGTAGGGGAGGAGGGGGTGAAGCAAGGGCAGGAACAAGGGAAAAAAATGAGAACCAAGACCTGTCATGTAAAGGTACAAGATCCCAGTAATGAATGTAACTGTACTGTATACCTAAACTGTACCAATAAATTCAATGAGGAAAAAAAAAAGAAGACCATTAGTTCAAGCCTAGACTGGGCAACTTGGTGACTTAGTAAGAACCTGACACAAAATTAAAAAAAAAAATACACACACACACACACACACACACACACACACACACACACACACACACAAACAGGCTGGGGATGTAGTTCAGCATGAAGGCCATGGGTTCAATCCCCAGTAACACCCTCCTCTCCCCCAAAAAACCCTGCAACATGTTTTTTTTTTCCTCTGCATTAGGCCTTTTTTTCATCAAGTCAAGCAGCAGGCATGACCTGTAAAGTGCTAAGGAACGACATCCCTAGAGACAAGCCTCAATCAACAGAGACAGAAGTCAGATAATAAATACCTCTATCTCCCCATCCTCTGGTCAGGTGATTCTGAGTTCTGGTCTATGGATTCTCAGAGGTCTCCAGCAGAATGGAGCCCCGGTCACTCACAGTGGGGATCTGCTTACTGATGTACCCTTTTTGGCTTTCTCCTATTCCTGCTTCACTCCCCTGCTCACTGGCTTGTGTTTTCTGGGATTACTTCCCACCTGTAGTAAACTATCCTCAACCAAGCCCATGTCTCAGCATATAAAGTTGAGGGAATTCCAAGACAAAAAGCATCCTTGGTAGGGCCGGGGATTTAGCTCAGTGGTGCTGCTGCCTGCCTCACGGACGCAAGATTCCAAGTTCAATCACTGGTACCAAAAAAAAAAAAAGCATCCCTGGAAAGGTTTCTTATTGTGATAGAAAGTGTAGGAGTACAAGTAGGCCTTAGGAATAACCAGAATTAAGAACTCAGATTGCACTAGAGAGTGATGAATCTATTTCTTCAACTCCAGTTTTAAAATTTTCAGGGTTCTTCTTGGCCCATCCTGAGTCAGTCACCTAATGATGCCAGGAACAAAGCCATACATCATAGAGGAAGTCACTCATATGCTTTAGGTCCTCTCCAGAAAAGGGAATAGTCAAGATCTCTAAGAAGCACCAAAAAGCCAAGTGTTTTCCTTGACTACTTGCCATAGTCCCCTAAAATGACTACTACTGTTATTATGTTAAGGCCCCAATAAAAACAGATACATGCTATGTGGGGAGGGTAACAGAGGAAGTCCCTGACACACAGTAACACATGCCAGGTTGGTGAGTGATAATTAACTAGGCCCAAGGGGATAGGGCACAAGATGAGTCCATTTCTTATGGCGATGGAAAAGATGCAATAAGAAATTGGAAAAGCATGGAAAGGGGATCCAGAGGGTGCTGGGCATTGAGAAGACAGCTTAAGACCTTTGGGCATATTTCACATAAGAGCAAGGTATAGGATTGTTGGCAAGAACAAAATTCAACAAAGTCCTTCCTACCTACATGTCTCCATTGCCCTTCCGATACAGTCAAAGAGCATTAGGATATTTAATAACCCATTACATCTATAGAGTCTTTGTTCATTTGCAAAGTGCTTTCATTTGTATCATTTTGTTTAGTCTTTACAGTAGCCCCATAAGTTAAATTACATTATTCCCATTTTATAGGTCAGTCAAGGCTCATATTATTATTTCAGAGCCAGTTATCCTAATTTCTGACTCTCAAATTTAGTGCTTTCCTGTTATACCACAGAGCCCTCACAGGAACATCCCCACATAAGCACATATAACCACAGTATCAGTTAGGATGTATTTGGTTGCAAGTGACAGAATATCTGACTAGCAGTGGCTCAAACAATAGTCGTCTTATCTTTTCACAAATCTAGGTACCTAAAAGGAGGTAGTTCAGGACTGGTTCAGAAATTCTATGAAGTTAAAAAGACTCAGACACTTTGTAGTTCTTTGACTCTGTCACTCTCAACACATCAATTTTACATCCTCCTGCTTCTTATCTCATATTTCCAATGTGGCAGCCACAGCTCCACAAATCAGGATCTTTCATGTGCATTCAAATAAAAAGAAACAGCAGTGATGGTGGGAAAGGGGTCTTATCTTCTCAATGAGGGAACACTTTCCCTGAAACCTCTATATAACTTCCTCATACATCTTGTCGACTGAAACTGGGTCTCACGGCTGCAAAGGAAGCCAGGAAATAAATGAATGGCAAAGGGAGAATAGAATAGAAATGATTAAGATCAAATACTCCATATAAAATTAGAATATTCTTAGCCACAAAGAAGAGGATAACGGCAATAATATTTACAAGATGTGCAAACACAGAGCTTTATAGTGCCAAATGTGTTTTCACACAGATAATCTCATTTAATCCTCCCTACATTATGAAACAGGTGTTGTCTATCTCGATTTATAAGTGACAGAAGACACTGAAAACTGTCAGGTCTCATGTCTAGGAAGTGGCTAGTCAAAACTCTACTCTAGTTCTAATGCATTTCCCCTGTTCCTATATGCAAACCATCAGGGCTGTTCATACCATTGTCCCATGTGTGAATGATTTCATGACTAAGACTCTTAACTGTATGCCCCAAATTACATACTTCCACCGGGTTCCTCTTTGTAGGTTCTATTGTATCCTAGATCTGCCTACAGTTTTGGCAAAGAGTAAAATAAATCATGTAATGAAAAGTTAACTGATAACTCCTTATACTACTACATGTAAACACATAACCTCCAAGAAAAACTTTGTATGCTGACAGAAAAATTAACAAATGACAAATACTTAGGAAAAATACTACGAAAAAGAAACTATGATCTATAAACACTCATTTCCCCCTAATATTTTTTTCTGTTAAATTATAATTTTTGACACCACAAGTATAATCAGATCATTGCTTAGTTTTAATCTAGGAGGGCACATATCAAGGTTCGTCCCCTGGGACATATGCTATGAGGACGATATCCTTCTTCCTTAGCACCTATAAAAAGACTACTGGGCAAGTGTGGGCTGCCTTGCCCACCTCACTCCCACTGGGCCAATCCAGGTTTCCAGCTTTGGCAGAAAAAATTCAAAAATTTCCATAACCTCTCTCCCAGTTCAGTCAAAATTTTATAAGGTATAAGTGATTTTATTTTAAAAGTATAATCAGTTGCTAACAATAAAAATATAACATATTGCAATATTGATAAAAGCCTCCTAATGATATTGATGGCTTCTCACTGAGGAGTTGGTTGCAGTTTTCTATATCTTAGCATCATGTAATTGTACTTCCATATTCTCCCAGGGCCAGGAGCTTTTAATTACCAGAAATTTAGAGAGAATACTGATTTTATTAAATTTACTAGAGATGAAATATGGGTATTTAAATGTGGTCAGTTGAATGATAGAGACAAAAACTAATTTTCTGCTCTGTTTTTATCAATATTGTCATTGCTTCCCGTGTTTCTCACACCCACATCTATGGCCCCATTTCTCTACACACAGGGCTAATGCAATATTATCACCTTGAATCAATTATTGATTGACCTGGTTCCTTTGTATGAGGCAAGATATACATTTGGCATTGTTTATTATAATAAATAAAAATTCAAAGGCACGAAGATATTTGCATTTTCTATACTCTAGGTTTGTACAATGCTACAATTTATTTCTAGAAAGATCACTATCACTAAAGACATATTGCTCAATTGTTGCACAGATGGTTTATTTTTGGGTCCCAGGCTTTTTAACTGCAATTATAGCTAAATAATATGACTATAATGTCTCCTAATCTCCACTATTTTGTGGCAACTCTATGTCACTCTGAAGGTGTGTCCCAAAATGTGTGGCTCAGTGGCTAAAATAAAGACAAGTTTTAGAGGATGTGGTGGGAAAAAGTACAATGGTACAGCTACTTTGGAAATAAGCCTGGAAGTTCCTCAAATGCTTAAATACAGTTACCAAGTCATTCAAATTTTTTCTTCTTCAAGCTAATATAGACTATTCTGTCTCTTCCATTTCCATATGAACTTTGGGGCCACCATATCAATTTCAGCAATACAATAAACTGGGACTTAAAACTGCAATGGATTTGTAGATAGAGTTAGATAGTATTGCCATCTTAACAATATTAAGTCTTACAATGCATAGACATGAGATGTGTTCCATTAGGTTTTATTTTTATTTCAATGATGTTTATATTTTAAAATAGTTTTCAGTGTACAAAAGCACTCCTTTTGTTGAATTTATTTTTAAGTATTTTATTATTTTTTATGATAAATGGAATTA